GAAATAACCCCATGGATCATCATCAGTACATTATTATCCATCCAAATCCTATGGGGCTTTAACTTAAAAATGGAACCCATGCAAAAATTTTCAACTTAGCAGAAAAAAATGTGCTATAGAAAATATGCCTTGTGTAAGGTAGTTTCTGTCAATTCAGTAATTAAAATCTGGTAATACCTGAAAGAAATGTACTAACATTTCTTATGTCTTCACTTGACAGTTTTAATAGATAAAGACCAGAGTCCAAAGTGGAAACCGGCTGATTTAAAAGAAGTTACTGATGAAGATTTGAATGAGTACTTTAAATCTCTGGGAAGTAACGATTTGAAATTTTAAGGTGACTAGATTTTTAAGGGATTATTTTGGAGCAAGTTTCGGCAAACCATAGTACATGGGCCAGATCCAGCTTGCTGCCTGTTGTTTAGTTTTCCACAAGCTAAGAATGGTTTCTGCATTTTTAAATGGCTGAGGGAAAAAAAAAAAAGACTAATATGTCATGACATGTGAAAATTACATGAAATTCAAATATCAGTGTTCATAAATAAAGCTTTATTGGAACATCACTGTACTCAGCTGTTTACATATTGTCTATGGCTGCTTTGAGTAGTTGCAACAGAGACTGTAAGGCCTGCAAAGCCTAAAATACTTACTCTCTGATCCTTTTCGGAAAATGTTTGCCAACCCGTTTTATAGAAATGGGAAAATTTGAAGGTCTTAAATATCTAATTGAAATGAGAGCCTTATGTTTTGGCTTTGGGTAGTAGTTTTTATGTTGAGTAAATAAACTTATGTATAGATTATTAAAAAAATAACCCTGAAATTTTTTGGCTATTGTGTTAATGCTTCAGAGAATTTTCTGCAAATATAAACCTGTTTGAAAGTAATTATGTTACTATAGAAGTGTTCCTTTTATAATATTAGCAATCTCAGGCAAAGTGGAAAGGTTTTTATGAGGTTGTCTCTCTAGTATTATTAACTCAGCTTTGGTCTTCCCTAAAGTTAACCAGAATCCCTTCCTATGGTGAAAGTGATGGTTGTTTTGTAGGATTTGTTAATCTGAAAGAATGAGGAATTAGGAAACTCCAGTCTCTAAAATAGAGACGCATTGCTTTCTGCAATTTACATTAAACTTGTGTGAGATAAGTTATTTGCTGTTACATAGACTAATTCAGGAGGAAAATAAGAAGGGCTTTTTGTTCAAAATAGAAATAGGTTCAAAAACTGTTGACAAAATAAGTTTTTCTTAAGGTACACAAGAAACTGCAGGGTGTTCCAGGCTTGGGACATTAAAGTCAAGGTAAGAATAATCTTTAAAGGTCAGTTTATCATTTATTTTATGACTTATTATAGTTTTCCCTTCATCCCAGACCATTCAGAAACTAAGAGAATTTCTGGTTTTTAAGAACAGAAAGTGGCAGAACTGAAAAAGACGTCAAAGATTATATCCTGCACCCTTCTTATAGATGAGGGAATTGAAATCTAGGAGTTGCTTTAAATTTTCTAAATATTTAACATGAAGCATTTCCCCCCAAAAAAAGTCAAGAATAGATTTAGAATACAGATGGCATGACAATGGACATGTTTACATTTATTTTCTTAAAGCTCTCAAATTGGACCTGAATGATCCAAGAAATTATTTGTATCAGTGGATTTCTATCTACTTTGTATTCATTAGAAATGCAGAAAAGATATTCTTTATATCAAAAAATTTGACAGTACACAATATTGAAAGCCATTTGCTTTAATCAGAACTTGTAACCGGTTAATGGCAACTAGACTTTTATTGTATGGTTAGGAAAAATGTTTTCACAAAAATATTTGGAAAAATACCATTTCATAGCTAAGTCTTACAGGGAAGAGAATTACTAAAACTTGAGTTTTGCAAAGTAAGATACAGGGAGTACATCTGAGCTTGTGCCCACTGCTCCGAGGAAGGTATGTCCTGTTTGGCCACACAAATACAGGACGAGGGCATTATGATCAAGCAAACAATATATTTGTTGGAACTTTGTTTTTACCTTACTATTCCTTGACTTTATCATGTGTCTCTAACTTTGATTTCTAAAACTATATAATACAAAAAGTATAGTTCCCTCTTCTCATAAGATTCCAGTGATATTAAGTAGGATATGAGTGTCATGCTGTCTCCTTAATTCAATGTGTCTGTTTTTAATACTAATAAGGCAATTTGACACAAATTATTCCTCTGGAACTAATATTTTTATCCCCTTAAATTGTGCTTTGAGTGCTAATGACCACAGGTCATTTGCAAAGGACAGATAAGGCAACTGAAAATTGAGAACTCTGGGATCAGAGGCTTTGCAACTGAAAGGTAAGAGCACATAAGAGACCTTTACCTGGCAAAGGGAGCAGTGAAGCACGGTTGTGGGGTTCACACTTCTCTGGTAATCTGTTTACAGTTGCCATCTGAGGTTCCTTGTCACATGGGTGGCAGCTCATCTGCCTCTATCCTGGATGTTCTCAAGGGAAAAGATTCAGTGGTTGGGCACGTGTCCGTGTGCTAAAGAAAGGAACTTGCTACTGTGCCCCTTCCCTTAGTCAAGAACACTGGAGACTTGTTTTTGCAGTGTGTCCTCTGATGGAGCCTGATGTGAGTGCTGTTTCTTGGGCCCTTTTTTCCCTGGTTTCCTTTCCCGTATAATCTGGCCACTATTATTTCATCTGTGTTTGTGATGTGTAAGTTGGAACAAATGTTTCCCTTTCCAGTAGCTAATAATTCTTTGTCTTCTGTTTTATATGTTCCTTCTCAAATAGATCTTCCATTCTTTTACTGTTTGTGAAAGTTCAAAATGAAGTAAATCCAATATTTAGATATAAAGGTATGAAAGAAGTTATCCTATCAAAGATGTTCTCATCTGTTTTGTCATCAAGGCCAAACTATATCTTGATGATTAGCACATGCAGCACAAATTTGTTTATCCGGTGCTTTTTCTTGCCTGCCTCCAACTTGGTTTATTGACTAACTCACTGATTTGGTTTGACATAATACAGCGTATATTTCCAAGATAATTCTATGTTGTAAGATCTTATACTCTGTTAAAATGATTCAGGAGTGAGGGGTTGATGCTTGGTGACAAAACCATACTGTCAGAGTGGCAACAGAGATGAGATTTCTAGTGGGATGTGGATCTGGCAGACATCCCTGCTACACTCCTGGGAAATAGGGGCCCAGGCACAGAACCTGAGGTTAAATATTTATAAGAAAACTCAACAGTCTATATCCCTGCGTGTGCTGAAAAATTTAGTGTGGCTATGGCTTTTGTGTTCTCACCATAATATATCTTTTAAATAGTAAATGACTTTGCAGCAAAAGTGGCCTGATGTGAGATAGAAAATGAATGAAAAATGGCAACATCTAGGCTTTTGTCTGAGTCATTAGTATACTCAAAAACCTAAATTTTTCTTCATGAGCTCGAAAGGTGCTTTGCATTTTCAGAAGACTTTTGTTCCTTAGCCTTAGAACTTCAGATCCTTATATAAACAGGGGTGGTGGTTTTTGTACTTTGTAAGTTTCTAGATTGCAAGCACAACAGGACAGTTCAAATCTTGGGACTAGGTGAAATGAAAGTTGAATGACTAGGTGTCCAAAGGCAACTGAAAGATGGCACATGACTCACTTCAAAGTATTCTCTTTGTCCATGCAATTGGGAGAATTCACTCTATTTGCGGGTTTCAAAGTATAGTCGTTAAAATTAGAAGTAGCATTTCTGCCTGCTTACAAGGCCAAATATATATTTATCTCATTAAAGAGATCACAAGTCTTTCTGCCTTCAATTGTCAGTGACAAGGGTCTGTTGAATCTTAATAATAGAATTTAATGCACACAGACTTAAATAATTCCCTTTCCAACTAAACTCAGTGTGTAGCAATTCTGGATGAAAAGACCATTCTAGAGACTGAGTCCCAATTTTTCTACAGGTTATGTTTTCTCAGTATCTTCTTCCACTCCCAAATTCTCTGTTACCATTGATTTTAAACAGTACTTGATTCTTGGGGGGGGAAAAAAAAAACTTCCCCCAAAATGTAGCCAAATTTAAGAAAATATGGCTGTAAATGCCTTATGTGCGTTGTTACCATAAAAAAAAAAATACATGAGTACTCTCTTTGGAGGAGTGTTTGATCTTCTGTTTTGTAATGCAACAGTATAGCCTCATGCATAGACTGGTCCCACAGTAATCTGAACAGGGACTGCCCCACTAGTCAATAATAAAAATGGGAATGAGTGCCCATTATACCGACCCTCTACATCTGAGACAGTAAAATTTCATATACATGCAGCACTGCAAACAGGTTCTGCTTTCTACCTTGACTAGGGCTTCTGTTATTTTAAAACTTACTGGATTGCTGTTTGTAAAAATTCTTGTTTTATCACTGGGCTGCTTAATTCAGTGCCATAAACATTAATGTCATGACTTCTGTAAATTGTATCCTGTTCAGATGCCTTATGTGCAAAGTCTTGAGTCATCAATAACAGCTGTGGTTAGTTAGGGCCCTGAGGTTCAAGGTGGTAGTTAAGGACAGGTTTCAAGATGGACTACTTCTACAAGGGGTGCTTTCTACTGCTTGATCATTTGTGTTAAGTAGGGATCCTTGACACAAATGGTTTTGACAAACGACCCACTATTAATTACTGTGGCTTAAGTGCCATTTCCTTGCCAAGGCATCTGAAAAATCCTTTTCATAACTTGTTTGTGTAAATTAACAAATAGTTATTTTAAAAGGAGTGTTTTTAAAATAACCATTTAATTTCTTTGGTGATACTACTAGTACCTCAGGAAGAAAGTGGTATGACATACAACTGATTACTGTGGTGCAGGACCTATATTTAGCCCTTTAAATGACTCAAATCCCAAGACCAAGCAGATAGAAATTGCTATTAACATAAAAGTGCTTAACATTTCATTTTAGATACTCCTATACTCTTATCATAGACATTTTTTTTACATCCAGATGGAGTTATTTGTATTTATTCACACCAGTTTTTGCTATAATTTCATGTGTTTAAACTAGCACCAACTTTATCCACAATTCAAGAAAGTTATCATCCTATGGCATCAAGGCCCCTCGCTCTCAATGTATGGGATGTCATTGTACTTGATGTTATTGCCTGCCCACTGCTGCAAGGCATCACTCAAGATTTCCTGGGATAGGCGGTGTGCAAATTCTAAGACTACCATTTCGGGCCCTGGTGGTTCTTTCACTTCCTCTTCGACATTAACTGGAGAAGGCATCCTAGGTAGAAATCTCTCTTCAGACATAAAGCTTTCTTCACTTGCATGTCGCTTCTCACTCTCAGATGTGGTAGGAAATGGGAAAGTTTGCTTTGATTTCATGCAGCCCATGTTATGAAGAGCTTTGAGTGAAGAAAAGCAGTAGCAAAGACTACTTCAACAGCATCTTTGGAAAACACTGAGCTTGTCCACGTGATACTGACCAGTGCTTTTCCTTTCCAGGCACTTCAGAAATGTGTTTCTTTTTACCAGTCTTTACCTGTAGTGTTTATCTGTGAAAAGAAAAGTTTCATTTTGATCAGGTAGCATGTAGAAGCAGTCCTCTTTACCACTTTGGTCACTTGTAACATCTTTATCTTATCAATAGAAAGAAAACCACTCAGTAAAACTGGCAATTTACAAAATAGGAAAATCTGTTTTTTATGAAACTAAAAACAGTTTAACTTTTGCTAGCTTAGATTTATTTATGTACACCAGGGTTCAGCAAACTCTACTTTATAAAAACAGGCAGCTAGAATTTGACCCAAAAGTTAGAGTTGTTTTTTTTTTTTTAAGATTTTATTTATTTGACAGAGACACAGCGAGAGAGGGAACACAAGCAGGGGGAGTGGGAGAGGGAGAAGCAGGCTTCCCGCTGAGCAGGGAGCCCGATGCGGGGCTCAATCTCAGGACCCTGGGATCATGACCTGAGCTGAAGGCAGACGCTTAACGACTGAGCCACGCAGGTGCCCCATAAATTAAGGTTATTAGAACACAGCTATGCTATTTGTTTGTGTGTGGGCTATGGCTACTTTCATGCTACCATGGCAGAGATGAGTGGTTTTGACAGAGACCATGTGGCCTGAAATTACTGTCTGACCCTTTATAGAAAATGTTTGCCAACCCCTGATCTGTACTGTTGAGGGAAATAAGCAAATAAAACATTGCTCCTGCCTCAAATCTCATGAGCCTACACATCTTGGACTCTTAGGGTCAGGCTCCGGCCCCTGGTTAGATGTTTACAATTAAAGAGACAGAAATGAGAGCCTTTAGGCAACACAAATTAGAGGTAGCAAAGCCACCTTTTTTTTCTTCTGAATTAGATGCTTCCTATGAAACTATATGAAGTTTAAATAGATTAAAATATAGAGGTTTCCTCCCTTAAATGTCTCTTGTCTGATGTCTGGTAAGTAGGCTGCAGTGCTCATGATGTGCCTTCTAAGCTTCGCAACTGGATGCTGTCACTGAATGACCTTCTCTTAGGACTTAAGGGTAGCTAAATACAAAGCAACTTCACTGGAGGGAGTCCAGCCATAAGAAAGCACAGGTGAAGTCTCTATAACACTATGATCCCAGATTATAGTGTAGTTTTTGGACCAAAAAGTCATAGCTCTAGAAAAATTCATAAAATCAAACTCAGTTGACTTATTTCTGAAATTATTGATCTTAAGATAAAAATGAATTTAAATGCATGGTAGTTTTTAAGTAGTAAAAGTCCAGAAAAGGTGACCTTTGCCATTTGACAATATTTAGATTTCTATAAAGTCTACCCAATTTCTCCCATAATACTACCCCTAATAAGGATTATATGGTCGGGGAGTGGAGGAAATCTAGCCTTCTGCTTTTAATTACTCTTAGTTCCATATGTCTTGCTAAAGATGTATTTCAAAAACTGAGATGTTTGTCTGGTTTACTAGACAACTCCTTGAAGACAGGAACTGTCCTGGTTGTATATCACCAACATGTTAACTATTTGTACATGAGGCATGGTTAAGGGAATTGTACATAGCCTGAAAATGATCATTCAATGAATGTCAAATAAAAGGCAATGAGTAGGCCACCTGGGTGGCTCAGTTGGTTAGGAGTCTGCCTTCGGCTCAGGTCATGATCCCAGAGTACTGGGATCAAGTCCCACATAGGGCTCCCTGCTTTATGGGAAGTCTGCTTTTCCCTCTGCCCTCCCCCCACAACTCGTTTTTTCGATCATCAAAATCTTTAAAAAAAAAAAAGGCAATGAGGAGAGTCATCATAATCTGTTTTCTAGGATCTTTGGTTTTGCAAAAGCACCTTTCAAAGTAGTGCCAGATTTACTCTCACCAAAAACTTTAAACCTGGACAAATACATGTGAAAAACAGCACAGGACTGTGATCCTCAAGAGAAGGGAAACACAGAACATTGAACTCCACAATTGAGCATCCTGCCTGGGAACATCTTCCAGCATTATCTCGGGGAGGTTGGGGCCAAGCAGAGTGGCAGCCCTGCTGAGTTGAAGAGGTTGGAATCCTGAAGGTAGATGAAATTTCAAGAGGCAAGGGAGCTGTGGGGAAAGGCAGAAATGGGGTCTCCCATTTGATAGGGTCTCATCAAGACCACCTGTCTGAGGACTTAAGATGTGTATGTACAGGAAGAGGATTTGTAAGACTTAGTGCTTTGGAATCCTTGGAGTTCCAAGACCAGCCCCAGTGGAGAAACCTCACAGAAACCTTAGGAGTGAGGTGTGAATCCTGGGGGGGGGGTCGACAAACTTTCTTAAAGGGCTAGGTAGCATAGAATTTAGGTATGTGAGCCATATGGTCTGTGTCACAACTATGCAGTTCTGCTGTTATAGTGCAGAAGTAGCCATAGAGGGGTGGCTCAGTCGGTTAAGTGTCTGACTCTTGATTTTGGCTAAGGTCATGATCTCAGGGTTGTGAGATCAAGCCCTGGGTTGGGCTCCACACTGGGTGTGGAGCTGCTTAAGAGATTCTCTTTCTCCCTCTGCCCTTCTGCATGCTTGTCCACACACTCTCTCTCTCAAAAAAAAAAAAACAAAATGTAAACAAGTGGGCAGTGGGTATGTTACAATAAAACTTCACAAAAACAGGCTAACCAGCCATAGACCATATTGGACTAAGTTCAAATGGAAATAAATAAAATAATACCATTTAAAGGAAGATGACATAATCCAGACTCTTTCTAGGGTATTACAATATCTATCCTAGAATAAAAAATTACTTGCTATGCAAAGCAGGAAAGTGTGCCCCATGTCCAAGAAAAAGTTATTAGAAATGGACTCCCAAATGACCCAGCATTTGGTAATTAACACAACTTAATAGAACTGTAAAGCTGTTTATGTTCAAGAACATGAAGGGGCACCTGGGTGGCTCAGTCATTAAGTGTCTGCCTTTGGCTCAGGTCATGGTCCCGGGGTCCTGGGATCAAGCCCCGCATTGGGCTCCTTGCTTGGCAGGAAGCCTGCTTCTCCCTCTCCCACTCCCCCTGCTTGTGTTCCCTCTCTGTGTCTCTGTCAAATAAAATCTTTTAAAAAAAAAAAAAAAGGAAAAGTGATAAAAACTGAAAAAGTAGAGACTCTCATCAGAGCAATGAAAATTGTAAAGAAAAAAGTAAACTCAAGAACTAAAATGAAAAACTCATTGGATGAGCTATTGGATACTTAAGGATTAATGAACTTGAACATACATCTATAGATCTGTCCAATCTGAAAAATGGGGGAAAAGAGAAAGTATGTCTTAAAAATAATGAGTTTGACACATTGAACCCATAGAACAGCAGGAAAGGAAGAATATAGGAAGAAAAAAGAAAATGGGACAATTAGAAAACGGTGAAGTGGCTGGCTTAAACTCTTACATATCAAAAATTTGTAAGGAAATGGACTAAAATTTTCAGCTTAAAAGGCAGGCTAGTTAAAAAGATTCATGCCACACAAACATAGTCAACAGATTTTTGACAAAGGAGCAAAGGTAATACAGTGAAGCAAAGATGAAAAGCAAAGATAGTCTTTTCAGCATGTGCTGGAACAACCATATAGCCACATGTTAAAAAAAAAAATCTAGACAGGTTGTATATCACCAACATGTTAACTATTTGTACATGAGGCATGGTTAAGGGAATTGTACATAGCCTGAAAATCTCCTATACTCTTATCATAGACATTTTTTTTACATCCAGATGGAGTTATTTGTATTTATTCACACCAGTTTTTGCTATAATTTCATGTGTTTAAA